TCAAGATAAAAACCGTAACTTACCATTGCATCAATGAAATAATGGCTATCAAAGCATTTTTTTTAAATTACAGGCTCTTCAATGCAAAGCGTTAATTATTGATTTTTATTTTTACATTTCTTGGAGCCGTTGCTTCAGTACTTGGGGCTAGTATGAAATTTCCTCAGAATTTATATCATCTGGAGTCATTTCCAGTTTTTCTAGAGTTCTCATTTTTTCTTTGTAAATATTGGGTGGAAGACAGCTGTAACTTTCCATCTTAAATTTAATCATTTCAACTTCAAATTATTCCTAACAGAAGTTCCCCTCTGACTGTAACGCATTCACTCCATCCTCCGTGAAATTGTCAGAAAGAACAAGTATCAATTATCTATTTGTGGCAAATGTATCTGTATTATCTCTTATAAAAGATACCACCTTTTAGCAACTGGTATAACAACTTTAAAGGCTTTTTGATGACTGGGAGCATGAAGTGTGGGAAAACCAAGTCAGACGCAGGACAGTGGATTCCTGGGTAAACATGGAGCCAGTGAAGGTCTGGCTGTAGTTGGAAGTCAGAAGCCTGGCGGGTCCATGTTAATCTTCCCTTTATTCCAAGAGATTAAACGTCTTGAATGTACCCTCACTCTCATTTTCCGAAAGTCAGTGTCTCAGTTTGTCTTTTTAATGTAACAAGAATGAGCAAGTGAGCAGGCCAATTTGAGTTCTCTCCCTCGGTGTGCCTGTCACCTGGTTAACACTTCTGCATTTTATTCCGCATTTTATATTCCTGAAAGTCTGATGGTACCTTTTACTGTTTAATTATTTTCTCTTTTAGATTAGTTCAGCACGGCTGTTTTCACAGTTGATACAACCGCATTTCGAAGGAACTAAACATTTAGTATTGCCGTCTGAAGAAAAAAAAAAGCCTTGTGCGTTTTAGATGTCTGCTTATTATTTGCCTCTGAAGACAAAAGTATAGAAAGTTGTATCCAACTTTCCACATCCCGCTCAAGGAAAGGCGTCTGAATATCCTAGACATGCAGATACGCGCGCAGTTGCCGTCCTGTAGCCAGGGAATATTTGAAAGCACTTAACGTTTTACAGGGATGTCCCCTCCAGATGTGAATGAAGTGTCTTTGCTACATGTGTTGGTTTTCCCTGCAGCTATAGCTCTTCCCTTAATCCAAACAACTCCTTCCACCATTAGAAACTTAGAAGGGATGCGTCCTAGCATCAAGTGGCCCGAACTGGAATTCCTCGCCCTGCACCTGTCACGGCATCCCTGAGCAGGGGCCATCCTGCTTCTTGAGTGTGCCCAGGGGCTGAGAGCTGACTCTCTTTCCCAGGAGATGCTTGATGCATTTACAACCTGTGCTCACTGTTAGAAAGTTCTTCCTCATACTGATCCCAAATGTGCTCCCCTGCGACCTCCCTGTTGAGCTCTGCTCCCTGAAAGCTACAGACTGCAGCTACATGGCTGGTCAGCAGAGTTTGGTCTCATAAGGACAGAAATTTGAATCCACCTCTAGCCTCTGC